AAAAAAAAAAAAAAAAAAAAAAAAGGAATATGGCTGAAAAACCCATGACACAGTGAAAGTTATAAACCTACAGGTTCAAGAAGTTTAACAAAAATCCAAACAGGATAAACCCAAAGAAATCCATGTCTAGACAAGTTATAACTGACCCACTGAAAACTAAAGACAAATAAATTATCTTGAATGTAGCTAAAGAATAATAACAGATTATCTATAGAGGAATAATAATTTCAGTAACTACGGACTTTTTAACCAGAAGACATTAAGTGAAATGAACTTGTTAAAGTACTAAAAGAACTGGCAACCAGATTTCTGCATCCAAACATATTCCTTAATAATGAAGAAAATACATTTCAAAGAAGAATAAGAGAATTCATTGTCATCGGATCTGTGCTAAATGAACTGCTAAAGAAAGTTCTTTGGAAGGAAAGATGATGATATCAAAAGGAATCTCAGAACATCAGAAAAAGGAAGAGCAACAGAAATGATAAATGTCTCTTTTTGAATTTTTAAAAATGTCTGAAGGTAAAAAGTGAAAGTAAACAAAAAAATAAAATAACTCACTGTATATTTTCAATGTAAGTAGATATAATACACAAGACAAGGATAAAGAAGGCAGAAAGGGGTAGAAGAATGCTTATGTTGGTAATATACCTACATTCCATTCAATGTGGTAAAATATTGATTAGGTCACTGTAAAAAGTCATCAACGTATATTAAAATTCCTAGAGCAACTACTAAAAAAGCTACACAAATAAATATAATAAAAAATACAGTAGGTAAATTAAAATGGAATACTAAAAAATGCTCAACCTAAAAGAAGGTAGGAAATGGGAAGCAAAAGAATGAGAATAAGGGGAACAGACAGAATAATAAAATAAAATGGTAAATCTAAAATCAAAATATCAGTAATCACAGTAAATATAAATAGTCTAAACACACTAAGAAAAATTCAGAATGTCATAGGATGGATTATTAAATAACCAAACCATATGCTACTTCAAGAAATTTACTTCACATATAATCATATAAGTAGGCTAAAACTAAAATGATGGAAAAAGATATAGCATGTACATACTTAAAAAGAGCTGGAATGGCTATTTTGATATCAGATAATAAAGGCTTCAGCGGAAAAAAGGTAGGCTTCAGTTAACAAAAAGTAACTGCAAGATAAAGAAAGACATTTCATGATGATAAAAGGGTCAATAAAAGGGTCAATTTACCAAGAAAAGATAATAATCCTAAATGGATAAGAACTAATAATGTAGCTTCAAAATATACAAAGAAAAAACTGATAGGCCAGGCACAGTAGCTCAGATCTGTAATTGCAGCAGTCTGGGAGGTCAAGGTGGGTAGACTGCCTGAGCTCAAGAGTTTGAGACCAGCCTGAGCCAAGAGCAAGACCCTATCTCTAAAAATAGCTGGGCATTGTGGCAGGCACCTGTAGTCCCAGCTACTTCTGAGGCTGAGGTAAGAGGATCACTTAAACCCAAGAATTTGAGGTTGCTGTGAGCTGTGATGCCATGGCACTCTACGGAGGGCAACATAGTAAGACTCTGTCTCAAAAAAATAAATAAATAGGCTTGGTGACCATAACTCAGTGAGTAGGGTGCCAGCCACATACACCGAGGATGTTGGGTTCGAGCTCAGCCTGGGCCTGCTAAATAACAATGACAACTGTAAAATTAGCCAGGTGTTGTGATGGGTGCCTGTAGTCCCAGATACTTGGGAGGCTGAGGCAAGAGAATAGCTTAGGCTCACGAGTTTGAGGTTACTGTGAGCTGTGATGCTGCAGCACTCTAATGAGGGCAACATAGTGAGACTCTGTCTCAAAAAAATATATAAATAGGCTTGGCACCTGTTGCTTAAGCAGCTAAGGAGCCAGCTACATACACCAGAGCTTGTGGGTTTGAATCCAGCCCAGGCCTGCCAAAACAATGATAACTACAACCAAAAAATAGCCGGGCCTTGTGGCAGGTGTCTATAGTCCCAGCTACTTGGGAGGCTAAGGCCAGAGAATCGCTTAAGCCTAGGAGCTGGAGGTTGCTGTGAGCTGTGATGCCACAGCACTCTACCCAGGGTGACAGCTTAAGGGTCTGTTTCAAAAAAAAAAAAAAAAAGAAAAAGTATATATATAAAATTTGAAATGCCATCAATGTAATCCACCATATGAATGATCTAAAGACAAATGATATATCAACTGCTGAAGAAGTCTTTGACAAAATAAACATCTATGAACATCTATGAGAAAACTCCCAGAAAAATAGTAATAGAGGGGTATTACTTCAATTTAATAAAAACATCTGGCTTGGTACCTGTGGCTCAAGTGGCTAAGGCACCAGCCACATACACCTAAGGTGGCAGGTTCAAACCCAGCCTGGGCCCACCAAACAACAATGACAGCTGCAACCCCCAAAATAGCTGGGCATTGTAGTGGATGCCTGTGGTCTCAGCTACTTGGGAGGCTGAGGCAGGAGACTCGCTTGAGCCCAGGAGTTGGAGGTTGCTGTGAGCTATGATGCCACAGCACTCTACCCATGGGGACAGCTTGAGGCTCTGTCTCCAAAAAATAAATAAATAAAAACATCTACACAAAACTTAAAACTAACATCATACTTAACACTTTTCACCCAAGGTAAGACACAAGTTTGTCTTTTACCATTCCTGTTCAACATAATGCTAAAAGTTGTAGCCAACTTCAATAAGAAAACAGAAATAAAAGGCATGTGGATCAGAAAGGAAGAAATAAAACTGACCATATTTGTAGATGACATGATTATGTAGAAAACTGCAAGGAATCTACAAAAAAAAATCTAAGCAGGCAAGATCATAATGTATAAGATAGGGACACACACACCAAATATACTGCATTTCTATATACAAGCAATGAAGATGCAGAAACTGGTATTAAAAACACCTTTTACAAACACACATTAGGTATATACACTTGACAAAACGTGCAGAACCTATATAATGAAAATTTTTAAATGCTGAGATAAAAGAGGACCTAAATAAGAGGAGAAATATAAATGTTCACACATAAGACACCATAATAAATTTATCAAATTTATCAAATTTTTTGATAAATTTATAAAAAATTATAAATTTATATTTATATTTTAAATATAAATGTCCACACATAAGAAGATGCCATAATAAATTTACCAAATTTTTTATCAAAAATTTATCAAATAATTTAATGACGGTATTTTGTGGACAGAGACAAATTTAATCCAAAATTTATATGGAAAGGCACAGAACCTAAAATACCTTAAACAGGGAGCATGGTACTGGTGAATGGATATACAAACTGTAGAATACCCATACCATAAAATACTATTCAGCAATCAAAATGAACTATTGATACACGAACAACTTAGATGAATCTCAAAGGTACAGAATTATGCTGAAAGATGCCAGTCTCAAAGATTACATAATGTACGACTCTACTTGTATTTTTTTCAGTTAAGTCTTTTTTAATATTATTTTTATTTATTTTTTAGGTTTGACTGCAAATTTTATTTTTTTTATTGTGGGGATTCACTGGGGGTACAAAGAACCAGGTTATACTGCTTGCATTTGTTAGGTAAAGTCCCTCTTAAAATTGTGTCCTGCCCCCAAGAGGTGTGTCACATACCGCGACCTGGAGTCCATTTATAGGAGAGTTCTGAAAAGTAAAACCAGAGTAACCGAAAACAGATCAATGGTTGCAAGAGGTTAGGGATGTGGGGAGACTGTGATTATGTGTGTACAACGAGTATCACAAAGGAGTTATTTCAGGTAATAAAGTTGTTCTGCAACATGATTGTGGTATTAGTTACGGAAATCTACACATATATTAAAATTGAAACACTGTACAAAATAAATTTTACTATGTTAATTTAAAAAGAAATAGTAACACCAAAGAAAAATTACACAGGAAAGATAAATGTGTCATGGCATATTATTTGGCTAAGCCATGAATCACATTTACATAATCATAATAATGTAAATACTGAGTAGCAATCTAATAGAATTAGATACTAATTAGAACGACATACTATATTAGTGAGATAGTAGCAGAAGGGACAGAGAGGACGTGTGCTAGGGATGAAGGGTTGAAAGAATTAACCCTATCTTTCACAATGGGAAATACATAGATAATAAAACTGAAAAACAAGGAAATAACATAAGCATGTTATTTAATGAAATAAATAGTGGTAAATTCCAAGAACAGCAGCTAAAAGAGATGAAAACAGTTGCTGTGGGAATATAGGAAATGTGGGGGAAAGGGACTCTGGGGTATGTATACATAACCATTTCATCAAAATAAAAATACATCCTCCAGAAAGTTAAAAACTTTCCTAATGGGTTTTTCCTAACACTGTTTCCCGATACTAGTTTCTAAGCATAGCATAATTTTAAAAAACTGGCCTAAATCATGGGATAGTAACCAACCTATGAAAGCCAGACAATGCCTCTTTTGTGATCACGGCTATTTGCTACTTTGATCTTGGTAGTTTTGAAAAGAGAATTTGTAATACTGAAAGAAGTGAGGTTTAAAACTATTTTATTCCAGTCCTCTTAGCTTATGAATTATATTAATTAATATTCAAGAAACTATCTTTCCTTCTCCTACCTCATTTTCTTCCTTCAGATCCTTTGGCTCTGAGATGGACAACTTTGGATCTTCTTCACAGGTCTTTTCATGGGTTTTCAAAGAAATAAATTCAGAATCCTTTAATGGCTCCTTTGACTCACATTTAGGGTGACTTAAAGACTTCTTTTCACTAATATCTTGCTAGTAGATATGAAAGAGATTTTTTTCAATATTAATGCTATTTTCAAAATCTATATGCCTATAAATTTGGGAGGAATTTTTCAATATGGTTCATACAAATGCTACATTATTTTACAGCTTTATCCATAACTCTAGGTCTTACCATTCTGTTAAACTAGTTCAGGCAACAAACATTAATTGAGCACATATATTATGAAGTATCTACAGGATAGCTCTGTGGATACAAAGATGAATGCATCTTTTATACTCTAAAGGAACTAAAAAACAATAGTGGGAAGACAATCAGACACAGTCTTATGAGTAGAGCCATTACAGGTATATGGCGAAAATATGATGGAGAGAGGACATCTGAGAAGACACAATGAAGGAGATAACACAAGCTGTATGAATGCTTAAAAGATTAAGGAGGAATTAGCACAGAACTGAGTATACAGAGGTAGGAGTGTGTACAGAGGATATGGGAATCTTACTATGTCAAAATATAGACTTTGGTGGGATAGGAGAGTGTTCTCTTCCACAGAAAAGATGGTCTTACTTCATTTCCAGGATTGAACTATGATTATGTGAAGACAGCAACAGAGTGATGTCTTCAGCAACAGATGACAGGATATTCTAAAAATTTTGAAGGCTGAATTCAGTTCACTGAGAATGAGGAAATATAATTCTTCTAATCTAGTAATAACAATTAGGAGAAATTCAGGCTTCAGAAAGTAGCATACAAGCTCCATTAATCTGAACATTAACTAGAAATCTAAAATCCTTATATTGTTTTCAACATGCAGCAGAAAAGGAATATGTTTCCTTTTTATCTTTTCTAATAATTAGTAAATATCTGCTTTTAATATAAAATTAGAGAGATGATTCTTTAAGTCAAATATATAAAACATACTAAACAGAATAATTTTGTATTTTATTCAAAAAAGGACATACCAATAAAACAAAATATTTTTGGCTCTCAAATTAAATACATCCTATATAGTTAGGTCAGAACCAGTTGTCTTGAGGAATATAGTCTCAGAGGACATTGTTTTTTGTTCAAGAAACATTAAGCTCTTACTACATGCTTCAGATGCCTTTTACAGAGGATAAGTATTCCTTATCTGAAATGCTTAGGACCAGAAGTATTTTGAATTTTGAATTTTTTTGGATTTTGGAGTATTTGCAAACACATAATGAGATATCTTGGAGGTGGGAAAGGTTCAAATAGCTTCACCTGGGGTGTTTCCCATATACCTTACATATATATAGTTTTAAGGCAATTTTATACTCTATTTTAAATAATTTTGTGTCAAAACTAAGTTTTGACTATATTTTGGCTATAACCCATCACTTGAGGTCAGGTGTGGAGTTTTCCAATCGTGTATGTCAGCACTCAAAAAGTTTTAGATTTCTGAGAATTTTAGAATTCTGGATTAGGGATGTACAACCTATATAATGATAATATCAAAGTATGAACCTGGTAAGATTGTTGGGAAGGTTAAAATAGGTAATACTGCTTTTTAACAGTACCTCCCATGTAGTACAAGTTCAGTTATTATGACCATGGGTTGAAGTAATACATAATAATATTATAATATTATCTTCATTACTATAAGGGGAGAGGTGCCAAATGTTTAAAGAGAATGTGACAAATGACAACACTTGAAGAACTTGAGTAGTGAAGAGGGAAGAAAAACAGCATTCAGATTCAGTACAGGGGAAATCACAGCTACACAAAAGCAGCAAAAGAGAGAAATGATTCAAAAGGAAGCATGACTGAAATGACTGAAGCAAAGGTTTAAAGTGGCAAGTAATGAGACAAGGTCATTCTTAAGATCACTGTGTAATTTTTTAAAACTTTCCTGTGTTTTGAAAGCCTCAGTTTCTTCATGTACAAAATGAGGATTTTAGTAATATAAAGAATCATACTATTTGCAAAAACCTCTTACCAGGGTATGTAATTCACTCTCTTTTGATTGTGGACTTATCTTTCGGTCTTCATTAAAATAGTGCTGCTGGGAAGGATAACCCAGTTCTGTCAAGACAACATCCTCTGGCCCTCCACTGGATTTAGTGTATAAAGCTAAAGGGTTGAGTTCTCTGAAACCCTAGGATTAAAATAAAAGAAGAAAGGGTTTACTCTTATGTGGTCAAGACAGAAATGGTGAAAAGGTTAGCACTTCATAATTTTCAAATGCTTTGGAAGTATATTATCTTCCAAAAGTTTCTTCATATTAACAGTTTATGATAGTTATAAAATTTATCAACATTAATGGTTCTTCTCTAGAATAAGATAAAACTAAATTGGGATAAGAGAATACTCAATTATTTAAACATAAGTATTCACATTTAAAGGACAATTAGCTAAATGTAGTTTTTTATGTTCATCTGAAAATTACGAGTGCTGTGCATTAGGAAGATAAGAATCTCCTGGGTATCTTTAAGATTAAAGAATAAACCTTATAACCTTCTGTATTAAATTATCTCACATCTTGAAATACTGAGATAAAATAAAATATATTACCAAAAACATCCAGATTGCTCTACCTTAGAAGGGACATTTTCTCGGCAAACAATTGCATGGCCCTCTGTTCTTAAGACATGATGGAAATATATGTCTTCATTTGAGGATGTATCACACAGAAAAATATTAAGGATTCCATCTACATATTCATCCACTACCCCTACCAATGGCTTCAAACCACACAACTTCTGAAACTGCAAAATAGCTCTGCATGTCCAGTGTTCCTGAAATATAATCAAGATATTAGATTTTAGGTGATAGATTTAAACTTAAATTATAGTGACCATATATAAAAATGAATTCTAATGAACTAGAGAGCTAAGTGGAAAAATAAAACAGTACTAGAATAATTCATAGGAAGATATTTATAACTCAGGAATGAGAAAAGTCAAAGAAAAAGTGATAAAAATGTGAATATGGAAAAATGTAATTATATGATGAGAAATTATCTTTTCCTTTTTTTTTTGAGTTGGAGTCTCAAGCTGTTGTCCTGGGTAAAGTTCCGTAGCATCATAGCTAATAGTAGCCTCCAACTCTTGGGCTCAAGTGATCCTCTTGCCTCAGTTTTTACATTTTTAGTAGAAGTGGGATCTTGCTTTTGCTTAGGCTGGTCTCTAACTCTTGAGTTCAAGTAATCCACCAGCCTTGGCCTCCCAGACTGCTAGGACTAAAGATGTGAGCCATCATGCCTGGCCAAGAAACTTTCATTTTAAGAAATGGTGAGTTAGATTATTATACCACCCCTCCAGAGAAAACTAAAATTTCTGGTAAAATGCTTTTTTTTTTTTTTTTTTTGAGACAGAGTGCTGTGGCATCACAGCTCACAGCAAGCAACCTCAAACTCTTGGGCTCAAGTGATTCTCTTGCCTTAGCCTCCCAAGTAACTGGGACTACAGATGCCCACCACAGCACCTGGCTATTTTTCTTTTTTTGGTTGTGATAAAATACTTTTTAAAATAAGTACAAAAAGCAAACCGATAAGTTAGTAACATATTATCGGGTCAAAATTGAAGGAAAAGTGGGAACTACTTTTGTCTTAAGGGTACCTGCTAATCCAGGCAAATGTGAACTTTGGTTTTGATGATCTAACTAGTCAAAGGGGTGGATATCAAAGCCAGGGTCCACTCATGGTAAGGAGTTTAGATAAGAATTTTTATTCTTTAAGCTGAGTCCCTATGAGGGTACTTTTTCAATGAAATAGGGAAAAGAAATAAACTAGCTTTCACATGAACTTGCAGCTCAATTTTCACATCACCAGGGTGGTCCACATATCCTTAAACTGTTAATTTACATTAACATAGTTCCAAGATTGGCGATATTCCTAGGCACCTGGCAAAAGCAAATGTAAATCTTCTCTGGAGATAAGCAACCTCTGCCTGCATTATTCAATCATTCTTACAAACAACTTTTCAAAAACAACAAGCAGTACACAGGCAAAGATAAAAAGCAAACAAAGAAACAATAAGTCAAAAGAACAAACAAAAAACATAACTCAAAAAAATCTTCAATTTTAGATATTTTAATTTCTAGACAAATTATAAAACAACTAAACTTATTATCTTAAGGAAAAAAATCCAACCAAACCAAACAGAACTCAGCTTAGTTTGAGAGCTTCTGCAGAAATCAGCAATCTATAAAAATTGATCTAGCCAAACTAAGAAGTTTTAGAAAGCAAAAATACAATAACCAAAATTAAAATTAAAAACCTCATAGGTTAATTCAACAGCAAATTAGAATTAAAAAGAAAGTTGGTAAAGTGTAAGATAATTTGGAAAAAATAACCCAGATTGCAGAATGGAAAGACAGATATAAAATACAGAGGAGAAGTCAGACGATACAGAAGAAAAACTGAGATGGTTTCATACACTTTCTGTTCCCAGAAAAACAGGTAGAAACAGAAAGAATGAAAATAAGAATAAATACATACATAAATATATGATACTAAAACCAAAGAAAATGAGCAATCTTAAAACTAGCTTTAGACAGAAAGCACACTGCCCTTAAAGGAACATCCATTAGACTGACAGCTGACTTGTCAAGAACAATACAGGAAGCCAGAAGCCAGTAATGAGACCTTTGATGTGCTAAAGATATTAACTGGTAACCTAGAATTTTACAATTAGTAAATATATTTTTCAACAAGTAAAAATAACATTTTCAGATAAATATAACTAAGTTTTTCTACTAGCAAACTTATAAAATAAGTTAATAAAACTAAATAAAATCCTAAAGTACACCATTCAAATAAAAGGAAAATGGGCCCATACAAAGGATTTGAACAGTGGATGAAGAGAATGTGTAAATAAATCTAAGTTGATGTTATATTACACCAGGACCATATAAATATGGTCAATTTTCTGAAGGGCTAAAAATGTAAACATTAATTACATGAGAAGAATAGCTAGAAGAGAGAATCTAGAGATGAACACAGCCACACAGTGCCATCTGATCTTTGATAAACCAAACAAAAGCATGCACTAGGGCAAAAAATCCCTATTTAATAAATGATGCTGGGAGAACTGGTTAGGCACATGTAGGAGACTGAAACTGGACCTACACCTCTCATCATTGACAAAAATTAACTCTTGCTGGAAAAAAGATTTAACGATATAAATTCTAAAATAGAGTGTGGGGAAAACATTTGGCCTGGAAAAGATTTTATGAAGAAGACCTGCTTGGCAATTCCAACACTACCAAAAATTAATAAATGGGACATGATCAAGCTAAAAAGCTGCTGCATAGCTAAGGGTACCACAACTAAAGCAGATAGACAGCCTTTGGAATGGGAGAAGATATTTGCATGCTATGAATCTGACAAAAAAGGCTGTTAACTAGAACCTACAGAGAACTCAAATTAATCAACAAGAGCAAACAACCCCACTTATAAGTGGGCAAGAGACTTAAAACAGAAACTTCTTGGAAGATGACAGATGAATGGCCAACAAACACATGAAAAAAATGCTCATTGTCTCTAATCATTGGAGAAATGCAAATCAAAACCACTCTGATATATCACCTAACTCCAGTGAGATCAGCCCCACATCACAAAGTTCCAAATGCAGATGCTGGTGTGGATGTGGAGAGAAAGGAACACTTTTACACTGCTGGTAGTGATACAGAGCAGGTGGCTCCCAGCCAGCTTGGGCTGAGCTGAAGGGCGGACCTGCCGCCTCCACCCTGGTGGTGTTGGTGTCACCATAGCCAGCACCAGTGGATTGGTAGGTAGGCAGGGGGTGCCCAGCAGGAGGCTCCAGTAGCCAGAGGGGCCAGACAAGACACCAGTGTTTTGGTGTCTCCCTCCCCTTGCTCTTGTGGCTAAACAGGGAACCCCTCTTTCCTAGGAATGAAAGGGACTATATCCATTCATTAATGCATTCATTCACCTTGCCCCAGTACAAAGGACTGTATCCATTCATTTGCTACAGAGTTCATGGTAAATGTAACCACACAGGACACATGCAACCCATATACACACACACACACACACCTCTCTGGACAAAGAGCCTGGAGAGAGAGACAGAGAGGGAAAGAGAGAGAGCTTTTTTCCTCTACTTGGGTTGTTTCTCTCTGCCAGGAGCTTTGGTGTTTTTGTTTTCTTTTCTGTAAAATAAATCCCGTCTTACCACTGATCTGTGGTCCGAGAATTCATTCTTTGAATCACCAAGACCAAGAACCTACTAAAGATGAAATTCCAGTATCTGTGGGATTGCAAGCTAATACAATCTCTATGAAAAGAAGTATGGCGAATTCTCAAAGAACTAAAAGTTGACCTTCCACTTGATCCTGCAATACCATTACTAACTAGGTATCTACCCAGAAGAACAAAAATCATTTTACCACTAGGATATCTGCACCAGAATGTTTACTGAAGCTCAATTCATAATTGCAAGATGTGGAAGCAACCCAAATACCCATCAATCCATGAATAGATTAACAAAATATGGCATATGTATACCATGGAGTACTATTCAGCCATAGAAAAGATGGAGACTTTACATTTTTTGTGTTTGTCTGAATGGAGTTGAAACACATTCTTCTTAGTAAAGTATCTCAAGAATGGAAAAAGAAGTATATAATGTACTCAATACTAACATGAAACCAAAATATAAGTAACTACAAGCCCACAGGAAAGAAAAACACAAGCATTGTCTAGTGAGGACAAGGGAAGAAAAAGAGAGAGGGAGGAGGAGAAGGGAGGATCACTGGTGGGATCTCATCTAATGTGCACAATAGGCAACTACAACTTGAACTTTACCTTAGAAATAAAAACAATGTAACCTAAACCTCATATTAATCTGAAATTTAAAAATAAAGATAAAATGAAAAAATAGGCCAGAAGAGGAAATTAACATGCTTTGAGGTAAGAAGCTCAACGAACACCTTGGGAGGCTCATCATGAAGAGGTAATCACCAAAACATATCAGACTGGTCAAAGTCAACACAAAGAAGGAACTCCTATGAGCTATGAGCCAAAAACATCAAGTAAGTTACAAAGGAAAACCCATCAGGCTAACTACTGACTTCTCAGTGTCTGCGGTGGTACATATTTTACAAGCCAGAAGGGATTAGGGCCTTACCTTCAGTCTTCTTAAAGAGAAAAACTGCCAGGCTAGAATTCTGTATACTGAAAAATTAAGTTTCATATATGAATGAGAAATAAAGACTTTTCCAGACAAGCAAAACACTGAGGCAATTTGTCACAACCAGACCTCCCCTGCCAGAAATATCCAGAACTGCATTATGGACAGTTCATGGACCAGGACAATAGATATCCACCAGTGTAAAATCACCCAATAGGTAAAAATCACAGCTCATGCAGAACAATAGCACAAGAGGGAAAACAAAGCACTAACGTCCTACTCAACATAATGAATAGAACGGCATCACAAATACCAATTCTATTACCTGTTATTGGTCTGAATGCCCAACTCTAGAGACATAAGATGGCTGAATAGATGAAAAAATACAAACCAAGTATTTTCTGTCTCTAGGAAATACATCTAACACATAAGGACTCACAAAGACTTAAGGCGAAGAGATGGGAACAAACATTTCACCCAAATGAAAACCAAAAGAAAGCAGGAATAGCCATTCTTATATTAGATATAATTGACTTTAAACCAACGATGGTAAAGAAAAAGATGGCCATTAGAAAGGTAAAGGGAGCAATTCAACAAGAAAACATAACAATCCTAAATATACATGCTCTCAGATTCATAAAGCA